ACTGCATTCATTTGACAGTGTAGATGCACCCTAGTTAATATCGGAGTGTGGTCCAACTGGGAAAAGTTGTTGAGCATAAAGAACTGCAATCTAAGAAATGCTGCAACAGTTTGCTTTTGCCTGAATCTAACAAAATACTAACAAAATGAAGTTCAACAGTGACAAATGCAAGATACTCCACTTAGGCAGAAAAAACGAAATGCAAAGATACAGAATGGGGGACAATGCCTGGCTCGAGAGCAGGACATGTGAACAACAAGTTAAACATGAGCCAGGAACGTGATGTTGTGGCGGCAAAAAAAGCCAATGGGATTTTGGCCTGCATCAATTGGAGCATAGTGTCTAGATCTAGGGAAGTCATGCTCCCGCTCTATTCTGCTTTGGTTAGACCACACCTGGAATATTGTGTCCAATTCTGGGCACCACAATTCAAGAGAGATATTGACAAGCTGGAATGTGTCCAGAGGACGGCGACTAAAATGATCAAGAGTCTGGAGAACAAGCCCTATGAGGAGCGGCTTAAGAGCTGGGCATGTTTAGCCTGAAGAAGAGAAGGCTGAGAGGAGATATGATAGCCATGTAAATATGTGAGAGGAAGCCACAGGGAGGAGGGAGCAAGCTTGTTTTCTGCTTCCCTGGAGACTAGGACGCGGAACAATGGCTTCAAACTACAAGAGAGGAGATTCCATCTGAACATGAGGAAGAACCTCCTGACTGTGAGAGCCGTTCAGCAGTGGAACTCTCTGCCCCGGAGTGTGGTGGAGGCTCCTTCTTTGGAAGCTTTTAAACAGAGGCTGGATGGCCATCTGTCAGGGGTGATTTGAATGCAATATTCCTGCTTCTTGGCAGAATGGGGTTGGACTGGATAGCCCATGAGGTCTCTTCCAACTCTATGATTCTATTAAAACACCATTCAAGCCTTCCTGACAGATGGCCACCCATGCTCTGCTTAGAGAAGACGACTCTGCTGGACTCCCAGGCAACTGCGTTTTCCTTGCATTGAGCCATGGTGGTCAAACTGCAATTATTTTCCTTGTTTCCCTCCCTGCATGAATTTCGTTGCTGACAAAATAAGAGCAAACTTATAATTGTTTCCAAAGATGAGTGTAGCTCTTGCTCTTTTGCAAATGTAATAATGGGAATGGAAAACAAGGGATGAATCACCGTTCTGTGGGGTTTCCTGAGGCCTTGTGGGTTTTGATTCGAAGCCTCCAGCATGTGATGGCATGATTGCAAGCCTTGTGACCCCGATGTTGGCAACAGCGCTTCTATGCATCTTGGACAGATTAATTTTGCAAGGCATGTGCCTATTGTTCCGCTCTTCTACATTGTTTGCTGCATGTCTTCAAATAGTTTCCAACTTACAGAGACCCTCCAGCAAAATTATCACATGGTTTCCTTGGCTAGAATTGTTTGAAATCTGGTTGCCTTTGCTGTCTTCTGAGGCGGAGAGAGTGCACTGCATCATAGTGAACCTGAGCATGTACGGAGTGCCATTTCCACCACCATAGACAGACCGAGCCATTTGCAATTGTTGTGAGCCTTCAAAACATTTCCAACCTATAATGATCCAATTGCAGGATTTTCATGGCAAAGAGCATTCTGAACACTACCAACAATAGAATTGGGCCAAACTTCCTACACAGAACCTCCATGACCAACAGAAAATACTGTGTTTTCTGGTGGTCTTTGGCGACCCCTCTGACACCCTCTTCTCCCCCCAGGGGTCCTGACCCCCAGGTTGAGAAACACTGATCTATATAAATAAAAATGTAATGTTCGTTTGCGGGATTAATGAACATTATGGCAAAATTCATTCACAAAACCTGAGAGTCTATCTTTCCTCTTGCAGGGATCAGGCCATTTGACAGATTACCAGCCCAAACTAGGATAAGGGAGGGTTTCCTTTGATATCAAACCCTAAGGCAGCACTATTAGAAAGTTTTCTTAGCAAGAATATGTCAGAAGCTTTTCCTTGCCACAAATCCTGATAGCTTATTCCTCCTCTTGCAGGGATTTGGCCATTGATTGATAATGGAGTCTGGGTTCTCAACCCGAAAAAGGTCGCATTCTTTCAGAATTAGCAGATTGAAAACTGGGGAAGACTCCTCTTGCTTCCCTGCTTTTGGGGACTTCTGTACCTTTAATGCAGACCTGGGCAAGCTTGGGCCCTCCAGGTGTTTTGGACTTCAACTCCCACAATTCCTAACAGCCGGTAGGCTGTTAGGAATTGTGGGAGTTGAAGTCCAAAACACCTGGAAGGCCCAAGCTTGCCCAGGCCTGCTATAGAGTTAGAAGTTCTTCCTAAGGTTCTTAAAAGCAAACTAGTCCAATGTGGACGAGGCAATTCTATTAGGAAGTTTTCTTAGCAAGAATAGATCAGAAGCCTTTCCTTGCCACAAATCCTGCAAGCTCATCCCTCCTCTTGCAGGGATTTGGCCATTTATTAATAATGGGCCACAACCAGAGGGCAAAGGGGGTTCCTTTGCGCCAAACCATAAGTGAGTTTTCATAGCAAGATTGGTTCCAAAGCCTTTCCTTGTCATAAAACCTAAGAACTTACCTTTCCTCTTGCAGGGATCTGCCCAGCCAAACCACAATAATAGGCTCATTTGATACCAAACCCTAAAGCATGGGATTGTTTTGGAAGAATTGGTTCTGAAGTCTTTTCCTTGTCATAGAACCTGAGAGGTTAACTTTCCGCTTAAGTTGTTTTTTTCATTAATGGTCTATCAATAAATCCTTGCTGGGACAGAGGTCCTTTTATGTCAAAATTTAAGATTTTCTTGCTTCCAAAGTCTTATCTTGTTCTAAAGCCAGGGTGCTTATCTTTCCTCTTGCAGGGATCTGGCCATTGATGGCTGATCGATCAACCCCTTTGGTGCCAAACCCTAAAAGCATGGGATTTTCTTGGCAAACGTGGTTCCAAAGTCTTCCCCCGGTCACAAATCCTGAGAGCTTTTCCTTATAGCAAAACCTGAGTGCTTCCTTTTCCTCTTGCAGGGATTTGGCCATTGATGGCTGATCGATCAACCCCTTTGGTGCCAAATCCTAAAGCATGGGATTTTCTTGGCAAAATTACTTCCAAAGCCTTCCTTCGGTCACAAATCCTAGGAATGTTTCTTTATAGCAAAACCTGAGTGCTTTCTTTTCCTCTTGCAGGGATCTGGCACTTGACAGGTGATCAGCCATAATTTGGGGAAAGAGTGGGGTATCCTTTAGTGCCGAACCCGAAGGTGGTACTTTTCCTTGTCACAAAGCTGAAAGCTTATCTTTCATCTTGCAGGGATCTGGCCAAATTGGTAGCTCATAAATCAAACCATGGGGGGGGGGGGTAATTTGGTGCTCAAGGCAGCATTTTCATGGCAAGATTGGTTCAGAAGCCTTTCCCAGCCAAAAAGCCTGAGTGGTTACTTTTCATCTTGCAAGCATTTGGATGTTGAGGAATCTTTGGTAACCAACTCAACAGTGCTTTTATTGGCCACTATGGTTCAGAAGGAAATCCTTGTCACAAAACTGGAGCACTTGCAGGGATAGATATCAATCACAACCAAAGGGAGTGGGTCTATTGGTGCAAAACCCTATCAAGATGTGACATGTTACAAAGCCTGAAGACTTATCTTTCCTGTTGGAGGGATCTGGCTAATGGATAGATCAACACAATTTATCCAAATTTATAGATAGATAAATCTGTCAGGGTTGGCTTGATGCACCTTCCTCTTGGCCTGTTTCTCCTTTTCGCTCTCCATTCATGTCTCTTCGAATTCTGCAGCACTGCTGGTCACAGCTGACCTCCAGTTACAGCGCTCAATTTGAAGAATTCAAAGAATGAAGGGCGAAAGGGAGAAATGTGCCAAGAGGAAGGCGCGTCAAGCCAACTCTGACTGGGACTGCCTTTAATCTGGAAACTGATGTCCTCGCTCATAAGAACATGCATATCAGGAATAGGGCTCCACAGCCACCTACGGACCCACCACCAAGACACTCCGCTTGGAGGACCATCTTCCTCAGGCTACGAGGGATTGCCTAACTAATTAAGAAAGACATTAATTATAGAAAAACTATAGCCAAATGTGCTTACAGTAAGATGTCCCTCCTGCAGAGAACAAAGTTTTGGCAATTTAATAAACTTTGGCCATGTTTTTAAGGATAGAACCAATTAGGAATTGATATTAATAGCCCAGTAACAAAAATTGTGTTGTATAAGTGTCACCAGGCACAAGCAGAGGGAAGTTTGTTTTGGTGCCAAACTTGAGATTTCCTGGGAAGAATGGGTGCGGAAAGAAGCCTTTCCTTGTCACAAAGCCTGAAAGCTTACCTTTCCCCTTGCAGGGATCTAGCCATAAGGTGGTTCAAAGGCAAAGAGGGTCMCTTGGGTGCCAGGCAYTGGAGGGAGGCCACCTTACCCCTCATTCTCCTTGAGACTTCCCAGGGAGAAAGGGTTCAGAAAGAAGCCTTTCCTTGTCGCAAAGCCTGAAGGCTTACCTTTCCCCTTGCAAGGATCTAACCATAAGGTAGTTCAAAATCAGAGGGGAGTCCCCTTGATACCAGGCACTGGAGGGAGGCCACCTTACCCCCCTCATTCTCCTCAAGATTTCCTGGGGAGAAAGGGTTCAGGAGGAAGCCTTTCCTTGTCACAAAGTCTGGAGGCTTACCTTTCCCCTTGCAGGGATTTAGCCATAAGGTGGTTCAAAGGCAAAGGAGGTCCCTTAGGTGCCAGGCATTGGAGGGAGGCCACCTCACCCCCTCATTCTCCTTGAGATTTCCTGGGGAGAAAGGTTTCAGAAAGAAGCCTTTCCTTGTCGCAAAGCCTGAAGGTTTACCTTTCCCCTTGCAGGGATCTAGCAATTGAGTGGTTCAAAGGCAGAGGGGAGACCCTTTGGTACCAGGCACTGGAGGGAGGCCACCTTACCCCCTCGTTCTCCTTTTCCTCCCCTGCATCTGAGTGAGCACCTCCTCCTTGAGTGGGGCGGTCCCGCGTGGGGCGGTCTCGGGTGGGGCTTGGCTATTTGAGCGCCTCCAGCCTTTCCCTGTTGCTTCAGCCCGTCTTTGGCGACCGAGGAGAACTCTTCGTCCACTAGTGACAGACACCCAGGTAGACCCACCCAGGTAAGGAGCCAAAGAGGGAATGGGGTGGCTTCTTGGGCTCTGGGTTCTCAACCCGAAAAAGGTCGCATTCTTTCAGATTGAAAACTGGGGGAAATCTCCTCTTGCTTCCCTACTTTTGGGGACTTCTGTACCTTTAATGCAGGCATGGGCAAGCTTGGCCCTCCAGGTGTTTTGGACTTCAACTCCCACAATTCCTAACAGCCGGTAGGCTGTTAGGAATTGTGGGAGTTGAAGTCCAAAACACCTGGAGGGCCCAAGCTTGCCCAGGCTTGCATTAAAGGTACAGAAGTCCCCAAAAGTAAAGGAAGCAAGTGGAGTCTTGGCTCCTAAGCCTTTCCTTGTCACAAAACCTAAGAACCTAGCTTTCCTCTTGCAAGGATCTGCCCATCCACAACCAGGATAATAGGCTCATTTGATGTCAAACCCTAAAGCATGGGATTGTTTTGGAAGAATTGGTTAAGAAGCCACAAAACCTGAGAGCTTACCTTTCCTCTTACGGTGTTTTTCCATTAATGGTCTATCAATGAAACCATGGTGGGACAGAGGTCCCTTTATCTCAAAATTTAAGATTTTCCTGGTTCCGAAGTCTTATCTCGTCCTAAAGCCAGGGTGCTTACCTTTCCTCTTGCAGGGATCTGGCCATTGATAGCCGATTGATCAACCCATTTGGTGCCAAACCCTAAAGCATGGAATTTTCTTGGCAAACTTGGTTCAAACGTCTTTCCTTGGTCACAAATCCTGAGAGCGTTTCCATATAGCAAAACCTGAGTGGTTTCTTTTCCTCTTGCAGGGATCTTGTGCTTGACAGGTGATTGGCGATAATTTGGGGAAAGGGTGGGGTATCCTTTGGTGCCAAACCCAAAGGTGATACTTTTCCTTGTCACAAAGCCGAAAGCTTACCTTTCATCTTGCAGGGATCTGGCCATTAATGGTTGATCGATCAACCTCTTTGGTGCCAAACCCTAAAAGCATGGGATTTTCTTGGCAAAATTGGTTCCAAAGCTTTCCCTCGGTCACAAATCCTGAGAGCGTTTCCTTATAACAAAACCTGAGTGCTTTCTTTTCCTCTTGCAGGGATCTGGCACTTGACAGGTAATCGGCCATAATTTGGGGAAAGGGTGGGGTGTCCTTTAGTGCCAAACCCGGAGATGATACTTTTTCTTGTCACAAAGCTGAAAGCTTATCTTTCATCATGCAGGGATCTGGCCAAATTGATAGTTCGATCGACTCCTTTGGTGCCAAACCCTAAAGCATGGAATTTTCTTGGCAAACTTGGTTCAAAACTCTTTCCTTGGTCACAAATCCTGAGAGCGTTTCCATATAGCAAAACCTAAGAGCTTTCTTCTCTTGCAGGGATCTGGCACTTGACAGGTGATTGGCCATAATTTGGGGGAAAGGCTGGGGTATACTTTAGTGCCAAACCCAAAGGTGATACTTTTTCTTATCACAAAGCTGAAAGCTTACCTTTCGTCATGCAGGGATCTGGCCAAATTGATAGTTCATAAATCAAATCATGGTTTTCCTCTTGCAGGGATCTGGCGCTTGACAGGTGATCAGCCATAATTTGGGGAAAGGGTGTGGTATCCTTTAGTGCCAAACCCAAGGTGGTACTTTTCCTTGTCACAAAGCCGAAAGCATATCTTTCATCATGCAGGGATCTGGCCAAATTGGTAGTTCATAAATCAAATCATGGTGGGGTGCGGATACTTTGGTGCTCAAGGCGGTATTTTCATGACATGATTGTGAATCTTTCCGTGAATTTTATTTCCTGCTTTTAAATCCATTGCACGCTTGTTCATTCCTCCTCAATGGGACATCCCTTCCAATATTTAAACCTGGCTCTCATGCTTCCCTTTCATGCTTTCCTTTCTTCAAGGTAAACCTATCCAACACCCTAATAAGCCCCTTGTCATTGGGATTCATAGTTTCCACACCTTGTTGGTCATCTTTCTCCTTGTTAAATATTTAAAACTGGGAAGAGTTCCTTTTTCCATTCATATCTGTGCAGAAGAGGGAATTTTCCCATTCCCATACTTTTAAATTAGACTAATACATAAACACATAGATAAAAACCAATATATACATATGTCCATAAACAGATTTTCCACCAATACATACATTGCTATATACATTCCTGCCATTTACATACACATAAAAACCCCAGTGATTGGTTCACCTTAAGGGAAGTCGTGGTATTTTGCCTTGGTCAGGCCACACCTGGAATCACACTATGTCCAATTCTGGGCACCATTGACTATAAGCTGGGATGTGTCCAGAGGAGGGTGGCACAAAAATCAAGGGTCTGGAGAACAAGCCCTATGAGGAGCAGCTTAAAGAGCTGGGCATGTTAAGCCTGCAGAAGAGAAGGCTGAGAGGAGACATGATGAGGACCAGGTATAAATAGGTGAGGGGAAGTCATAGGGAGGAAAGAGCAAGCTTGTTTTCTGTGCCCTGAAGACTAGGACACAATGGAAAAATGGCTTCAGACTACAGGAAAGGAGAGCCCACCTGAACAAGAGGAAGAACTCCCTAACTATAAGGAGAGCTGTTCATCAGTGGAACTCTCTGCCCTGGAGTGTGGTGGAGCCTCCTTCCTTGGAGGCAGAGGCTGGATGGCCATCTGTCTGGAGGGGTTGGAATGTGATCTTCCTGCTTCTTGGCAGAAAAGGGTTGGATTGGGTGGCCCATAAGGTCTCTTCCAACTCTTGGATACAATGATTCTATTGTTGTTGTTGTTGTTGTTGTTGTTGTTGTTGTTGTTGTTGTTATTCCAATAAAGCCAGGGATTTTGGAGGACAGTTTCCATCCAACCCCATGAGCAACATCTGTTGGTCTGTCTATCTATCTATCTATCTATCTATCTATCTATCTATCTATCTATCCATCTATCTATCCATCTTGCTATCTTGCAATCTTATCTATCTTGCTATGAATTGCTCCAAAAAGCGACAGGTGAAAATCGGTGGATTTGTTTTTGCAATCTTGCAATCTTACCTATCTTGCTATGAAATCCTCCAGAAAGCGACAGGGAAAGAGGTGGATTTGTTTTACGGTCAAATAAAGTGAGGTAGGTTTGTGCCCCAAGGAACATATCATTAAAATGTGACTATTTAGACACGTAGAAGTTTGCCACCAACTCTTCCAACGTTTGCAAAACACCTTGGTTGACAAACAGCAGCGGGAAACAATAACACTAGAAAGCAAAACATAAATATAGAAGCAACCTAAACATCAAGCAAGAAAAGGAAAATGTTTCCAAAACACAAGGAGGTTTATAATACCCTGTCTAACATGGATGCTGCATCATTCTTGGAATTATAGTCCAAAAAAGTAACTTTTCCAAACATGGCAGGGGTTGGACTAGATGGCCTTACAATCTTCTGGTTTTGTAAATAATCACCTCTCAACAAAAGTTTGCTCCAGGCACTGTCAGGCCATTATATGCTAATCAAGGTGGTCAGTTGAAACATTAACACCTGCTCCAGCAGACAAGAGTCCTTTGTCCCACCCTGGTCATTCCACAGAATATATAAACCCTTTTTCCTAGTTCCAACAGACCTCACTACCTCTGAGGATGCTTGCCATAGATGCAGGCGAAACGTCAGGAGAGAATGCCTCTAGACCATGGCAATAAAGCCTGAAAAAACCTACAACAACCCAATTACAACTTGGGCGTTAACAAAGTTGCATTTGAAAAGGAAGAAAATGAGTTTGCGGAGAGGGAAGTTGTACTGTTGTAACACTATCTTACAATGTTACTTTGTTGGTGTAACTCTATTTCCTTTTTCAAACACAATGTATAAAACAAAGCCTACAAATCATCAATTTTCCTGTTTTTTTGGCAAAATGGGGTTGGATTGGATGGCCATGTGAGGTCTCTTCCAATCAATTTTGTGATTCTGTGACACCTTTGCAAAGCATTAATCCAATGTGCAGTATGTGATCTGGTTCCCAGAGTTAATGGATGCATCTACACTGTGGAATTAATGCAGTTTGATGCCACTTTAACTACCATGGCTTAATGCTATGGAATCCTGTGAGTTGTCGTTTGGAGGATTTTTCTTTGGCAAAGGAGGCTAAGGCTTCTGGCCGTTGAACTCAAGGAGCCTTACTTCCTAGCAGGCATATAGGGTTCCACTATCAAGTTTTATTTTACATTTATACGCTTTATATGGAATCCAATTAGGGTTGCTTTCTGTACCTTGCAAAAAACTACAGCTCTCAACAATACCAAAGGAGGCTAGGCTTCTGACCTTGCAAAACTACAGCTCTCAACAATACCAAAGGAGGCTAGGCTTCTGACCTTGCAAAACTACAGCTCCCAACAATACCAAAGGAGGCTAGGCTTCTGACCTTGCAAAACTACAGCTCCCAACAATACCAAAGGAGGCTAGGCTTCTGACCTTGCAAAACTACAGCTCTCAACAATACCAAAGGAGGCTAGGCTTCTGACCTTGCAAAACTACAGCTCCCAACAATACCAAAGGAGGCTAGGCTTCTGACCTTGCAAAACTACAGCTCCCAACAATACCAAAGTCGGCTAGGCTTCTGGCCTTGCAAAACTACAGCTCCCAACAATACCAAAGTCGGCTAGGCTTCTGACCTTGCAAAACTACAGCTCTCAACAATACCAAAGGAGGCTAGGCTTCTGACCTTGCAAAACTACAGCTCTCAACAATACCAAAGGAGGCTAGGCTTCTGACCTTGCAAAACTACAGCTCTCAACAATACCAAAGGAGGCTAGGCTTCTGACCTTGCAAAACTACAGCTCCCAACAATACCAAAGGAGGCTAGGCTTCTGACCTTGCAAAACTACAGCTCCCAACAATACCATTGAGCCATACCAGTTAAAGCCAATGTAGATCAGACATGGGCAAACATCAGCCCTCCAGGTGTTTTGGACTACAACTCCCACAATTCCTAACAGCCTGCCGGCTATTAGGAATTGTGGGAGTTGTAGTCCAAAACACCTGGAGGGCTGAAGTTTGCCCATGCCTGGT